ATATATATATAAGTATATATCTCTTTGTCAACCTTGACGTGTCCTTTTCGTTGTTTATCGCGGTCTATGATTGTTTCAATTTAATGCACAAACAATATTTGAGTGTAGCAATAAACTATTAAAATGCGATAAAGTATTTCTGCTCATTTGATTGTTGATTTTTTGGCTTGTTAAATAATGTAATAAAGAATTGGGTCGTTTAAGATAATTCAAATTAATCTCAAGTTTATTATTAATAATGATAATCAGAATGAGCTAACTTAAATATATATAAATATATATTAATATATGATTATTATATTTTTAGAAACATCTTCATTAAGATTTCATTAAGTTGTGAGCTAAAAATCAAAATCAAGGTTACGTCGAGTCTAACGATGTGACGTTTAAAGATATTGCGTTATGTAATATTTCGAGCTGCAGCTTCCCAAACGAAAGTTCAATTATTTCTCTTTGGTTTAACAACGATTCGTGTGTATATTATTATTTCAACCCTTTTAAATTTTAAAAGTTATTTTCTCCTGTGACATAAAATCCAATTCCTTTATTCCAAAAATAAACTCCAGTTTACGATTGAAAATTAATTACAATTAAAACAATCAATGCGATCAATGGACATGAATTGTTCACGTAATGGTCTCGTGTTTTCACCCTTTTCATTTTCTTCGGTCATTAATGAATATTAACAATCGATCAATGTCTCGAAGATCTCGCTTTTGCGCGTGTTCGTACCTTCGTTCATTTCTTTACGATAGAATATAATTATATGTAAGTTATAAATTATTATTTTATTTAATTTTTTTTTTAAGGGATGATTTCTTTCAGAAGTTTTTGGAGAAAAGAATTTATATTCTTTTTTTTTGTATCGCAAAATGTCTGTCTGAAATAATGCGTCTTATTTCGTTAAAATCGTTTGACATAGATCTTTTAGGTTGTTTACTTCGTTAAATTAACATGTTTTTTTTTTTTGTTTAAATTATTGAAACTGGATAATAAAACATTAATCATTAGTTACGTTCGGCAATTTAATTTCTATTAAGATTGACGTTCATACGGTTATCGTTTAATGACCTACGTAGTAGACATGTGATTGTATAAAGAGCGCGCTTTCTTTTGAATTGATTAACCTTGGAAGATATTAGATACATATCATCATGATACTTGTGTACTCAGTTAATTTTTATCTCACTTTTCTTTTCGATAAAAAAATGAGTCACATGAGTAATCATCGTACGATGCGAAATTAAAAGAAAAAATTTAATCGATATTAGAAACAAGAAAATGCGAGCTAAGAATGTATTCGTTTATGAATTATTTTATTAAAGATTTCCAATGATTATTTACAGAAGATGTTAAAAAAAAAAAAGAAAAAAATGAAGTCCTTGTCTAATATTTTTGTTTGTTATAATAATCAAAAACTAATGAACTATTAACGTGGCTGTATTAGCCACCATTAAACCATTAGGTTTTTTTCAAAGCTTCTTATGCTTTCCCAAAAACTTCATGTTTTTGAGAAAAAAATTAGAGCAAAAGTAACAAATTTTTGGATGCGCAATGATCGAAAATTAATTCAAAATTTATAGTAACATTTTTTATTCATAAGAATGAAAAAACTGATAATCTCGAATTTGATCGATAAAATTAATTATTTTTCCTTAAAATCAAATTTCCTTTTTCGCTTTTTCTCGATTTAAAATTGTACTCTACCTTTACATTGAAGTTCGCGTATTAGTGATTTTCGTTGGTAGAAACGTTAGATTTTATTTTGAGAACGAACAACTAGAAGAAGAAGAAGAAGAAGAGGAAGAGAAATACGTCGTTTGTAACATCAAGTAACACACAAGATTCTCTTTCTGTCTCACTTTGTCTAGTCACACCTAGAGCATTTGGTATTCTACATATATGTATTATAAAACAATTTAATTCAATACGTAACAAGTAATATGTCGTCTTTTAAAATGTCTACTTCATTTTTTTCTCCCACTTTTCGGTCATTATTGTCGTTGTTGTCATCATCATCATCATCATCATCATTATCGTCGATGACCACACGACGAGTTTTCCATTTTCAAACGACCATCACCACTTTTTCTTTCACGGTCAATTTTTCGTCATTATCATCATCATCATCGTCATCGTCATCGTTATTGTTTTACGAACCTATTGTCGCTAGTTTACTATTAGTCATTGAAAAGCGACGGTTAGTAACACGAGTTACAACACGTGTTGTAAAACGATTTTCACGATCTCCAATAAAATCGGTCAATAGTTTGCAGTGTTGTTATTGTGAAAATCCATTCTCTATACTAATTCCAATTTTACCTTTATTTGCGCAGCCTGCTAAAATGGTCTGGGTTACCGTCGATGATAAGGTACTGATCCTGGATATTTACAAATCATCATCGTATTACGTATTGTTTATCGATCAATAAATTGATCTGATCGATATTTTGAATTTTTTTTTTATTTTTTTTTTTTTTATTTTTCTTATTTTGTTTTCTCTTTTGATTTTTTTTCTTCAGTTTTTATCTTATTTTTTTTTTCTTAAACTTTCGTTACGGCATGCTTTGAAATGAGAGTATCCGTCATTCGATACAAATTTGCTGCTCGTACTGTTGTATATACGTAGTAAAAGGCCTTTGTGTTATGCACGATACCCTTATTTGGGGGGTTGCTAGTAACGCCTGTTTTGTTATGTCCTTTTGTTTTTTTTCTTTTTTTTTTTCTTTCACAGTAGTAGTTTTCGCTTCCCCCCCTTTTCTTTTTTTTGTTAGGAATTTTATTTACAATTAGTTACACATTATTTATGCCAAGTTATGCAAAATGTTAATTTAGTTTGCCAAGATTTTCATTTTGAAGTAAATGAATAATCTTCAGTTATGTTTCCGTAATGTAAGAATGATAATGAAAGAGATTTTTATCATTCCAAAGAAAGAGAAAGAGAGTGTGTAAGAAAAAGGAAAGCAGAAAATTTCTTCTTTGATAAACTCATATAGTTCAGTTCACGTTATCTAAATTGAACTATTATCTATAGGAGATACGAAATAAAGTTTTGTTTATGATAGAATTAGTATCAATCGATTTTTTTCTCATTATACTGAAAATTATTAAATTAATTATTTTAGATTTTCTGTACAAAAAAAAATTACCGATTATCGAATTGTTAGCAATTGATATCTTTAAAGAAAGAATTAAATTATATAAATTATATAGTTTTCATTTTAATTTCTATGTTATTTAAAAACCTAACGATAATGATTTATCGTTTGGAAGGTTTTATACAATGTACATAATACTTATACATACGTTTTTATGAATACAATTAGTTCGCTTTGAAAATCCTATCTTTTTTTTCTTTTTCCTCATTTCAATTTGTATATTTATATCCGCGAGAATGCATGTTATTAGTATACATTATTAGTGCATGTGAATTCCATTAGTAGTGTATAGATAATTGAACGTTTTTCTTTCCTAAACAAGTTTTTTTACGTTTACGTTTTATTAAAGAGATATTTTTTTCAATTAATAAATGTATTAATTTCTCTTTTTTTTACGATTTTTATATTTCTTTTATATTAATATTATTGTAATAATTATTATTTCTTTTTTTCCATTTTTTATTTCGACGAAGAACATCGTCGACGTTTTGTACATAGTGTTCGGAATGTACAAAAATGCTTGTAACATTTATTGTCAGCATAGTCCACTCAACGAAAATGGAAATGCATACACTATAGAACATTTAATAATAATTGAAACTATCTTGCAGATGGCTGGAAAGCAGAACGATAAGGCACTTTATGCTCAAAGTCAACTGGATCATTTGTGCGCTCTTGACATAGACAGTCATGCATCCTCCGTTCGATTATCTGGTATTATCTGTACAATTGGACCAGCTTCAAGGTCTGTTGAAACTTTGGAGAAGATGATTGAGACTGGCATGAATATCGCTAGAATGAACTTTTCTCATGGATCTCACGAGTATCATGCTGAGACCATTAAAAATGTCAGAGAGGCGCAGAAAAATTTGTCAGCACGTGTTGGCATCAACGTACCTGTGGCCATCGCCCTTGACACCAAGGGACCAGAAATTCGTACCGGTCTTCTGGAAGGTGTAAGTTCACTTTGTTTATCTACAAACAACGTATCTTCAATATTATTTATACTACCTATAAATTAACTAGATATAGTTAATTCCTTTCTTCAATACTTTTACAACTTATTTATCAATGATAGTGCAATTGCATTTATGATTTATCTGCAAAGAATTGATAATAAAAATTGATGTTAATAAAGATATGATGTTCTTAACAGGGTGGTTCCGCAGAAGTGGAATTAAAGAAAGGACAAACTTTTAAATTGTCTACTGACAAGGCTTATATGGAGAAAGGTAATGCTGATACAGTTTTTGTCGATTATGAGAATATTTCAAAAGTATTGAAGGTTGGTAATCGTGTATTCGTCGATGATGGTTTGATATCTCTCATCGTAACTGCTGTCAGTGAGTAATAATTTTTCTATATAAATAAATTTTAACATTATTTATATTTGTAAAACATTTATATTTTTTTTTTACAACTATAGGTCCAAACATAATCACCACAACTGTTGAGAATGGTGGTATGTTGGGTTCTCGAAAGGGTGTTAATTTACCAGGTGTCCCAGTAGATTTGCCAGCAGTTTCTGAAAAAGATAAGTCCGATCTTGTGTTTGGTGTCGAACAAGAAGTAGATATGATATTTGCATCATTCATCCGAAATGCTGCTGCCCTTACTGAGATCCGTGGGATCTTGGGTGAAAAGGGTAAAAATATCAAAATCATTTCTAAGATAGAGAATCATCAAGGTATGACAAACCTTGACGAGATTATCGAAGCATCGGACGGTATCATGGTTGCTCGTGGTGATCTTGGTATTGAAATTCCACCGGAAAAAGTATTCTTAGCACAAAAATGTATGATCAGTCGATGTAACAAGGTCGGCAAGCCTGTAATCTGTGCGACTCAGATGTTGGAATCTATGGTAAAGAAGCCGCGTGCTACCAGAGCTGAAACTACAGATGTAGCTAATGCTATTCTTGATGGAGCGGATTGTGTTATGTTATCAGGTATAAAAATTGTCCTTTAAAAAGAGTCTTCAAATATTATTAAAAATGAATAAATATTGTTTTACTAGTTATAATATTAATCATTTAGGTGAAACTGCTAAGGGAGATTATCCATTGGAATGTGTACGCACAATGGCCAATATTTGCAAAGAGGCTGAAGGAATTTTCTGGCAAACTCAAATCTTCCATGATCTTTCGAGCAAAGTATTGCCACCGATTGATGCTACTCATGCTGTTGCTGTGGCTGCTGTTGAAGCATCTATCAAGTGCTTGGCCAGCGCTATTATTGTAATTACTACTTCTGGTCGCTCGGCACATCTTATTGCCAAATACAGACCACGGTGTCCAATCATTGCAGTAACTAGATTCCACCAAGTTGCCAGACAAGCACATCTTTATCGTGGTATTTTGCCCCTTTATTACGAAGGTTCGTTTGTTTTTCTCATATTCTAAATTTCACAATTAATTTTGAGTAGTTCGAAAATTTGCCAAATCGATTAATTTCACATCTTTTTACTTTTTTAATACAGATGCACCACTCAGCGATTGGTTAAAAGATGTCGATGCACGAGTACAACATGGATTGAAATTTGGCAAAAGTCGTGGTTTCATACAAACTGGAAATTCAGTCGTTGTTATTACTGGTTGGCGACAGGGCTCCGGCTTTACAAATACTCTTCGCATAGTGTACGTTAATCCAGATTATGAACAACGTTGTCCTAGTTCTTATAGCATTACTAGTTCCGAAGATGATTATCTTTATCTTTAATATAATTATTATATGCATGCTTATTCATATTACAATTTGGCTAACACCTTGTCTTCGTTTTATATTGCATTTGTTTATAATTACATTACTCAAAGAAGATACGTACATCGCATTTACATTATTAACTCATTTTGCATTCTTTTTATGATTAATTATTAATACATCGTTTGTGTTTAAGTGTGTGTGCATGTATTGTGCGTTATGTCAAATTTATAAAAAATATTTAATTATAGTTATATTATTCTTTTTACTTTGTATTATCAAAATGAATTATTAATTTCGCGACTCTATTTATATTTTTTTTTATTTTATTGAAAATAATATTGTTCTTTTATTTTTTTTTGCAATAACAATAAATTTCTGTTTTAGAAACGTGGATTGAGCCGAAACTTCCGTAATGGGGTCTCGTTCATGATTAATTACTTTGCACAACCACAACTATTGCGCAAAATGATCGATCATTAATGAGTCTTGTAACCATTCAAACATAGCACTCATTTACAATAAACAATAATAATAATAATAATAATAGAGGATTAAATACTTGAACACAAACTTCATATCGAAGGAAGGACATTCTACTTCTTTTAACAATTGATAGCGTGCGGTTTTATGCATAATATTGCCTCTAATAAATAAATCGTAGTAAAATCGTTGTAGAACAACGATACTATTTTATTAGTACATAGTTCCAGTATTATTTTAATGCTGTTGAAGTATCCACATCTTGTCGTACAAAGAGATAAATATATATATATATATATATATATGTCAGTGCTGAAACAATTATGAAAAAGTTTTGAGAGACAAATAAATTATTGAAATAACATTTCTTTTGATTTTTGTAACTTTATCAAAAATATACAATTGTATAACTAAATGTATTATTTCCATAAATACGTTATAGAAAGAACTATCGAACTTCAATTTAAAAAAAAAAAATTTCTATAATGTGTAGTCATTTCTTTGTTATAAATATTATTAGTAACCTCATCCCTATCATATTTCGTTTCATCCCATCAAATTTTCCCTTTTTACAAATGAAATATTATTAATGAAAAAGAAAAAGAAAAAAAAGTAAAAAAAGAAAAAAGAAAAAAAAACCGTTCCTAATATAACAAAATGTCGAGCAATTGTCAAATACCATGGGTGCGTTCGTATTAAATACCCATTATCGATTGCAGTATTAAAAAAAGAAAAATTTCGTTTATATTTTAATGAATATTATTAATATATTTATTTATTTAATTTTGCTATACTGTAGAAAATGCCATTCGATGATGAAGAGTCGCACGAAAATCAATTAGATGCAGCTTACGAAAAGAATCGGTTAGATCATCACATGCAATTAAATGTTGATTCGAGTCCAAGACCTGTTAAACTTACAGGTGTAATGGTTACGATGAGTAGGTTCTGTTGTTAATCACATCCTAATTATTACAATCGAGGTATTATTATAATTAGACTAATATCAATTCAACGAAGAATTTTTCCAAGTTATTGATCCATGTAATTACAGAAGAATTCTTTATTTTTATTGATATTGTTTCTCTGTAAAAAAAAATATTACACAAAAAAATTAGGTATTACAAATTCCTATCCATTGGCAATCGCGGAAATCAGTAAGGCCGGAGCAAATATAGTTCGTTTGAACTTATCACATCAAACAGACAAATGGCATGCTATTACAATAAGATCCATCAGAGAGGCTGGAAATATCTTATACCATTGTGAGAAAAAAATTTGTCCCATTGCTGTTGCAGTCGATCTTAAAGGTCCTGAGATACGTACAGGAATTTTTCGTGGTGATCCATTATCCCTGGTATAATAATATTTATACAAATGCTAATTTTGTATGAAATCTTTTGTTATCAACGACCCATATAAAGGGGGTTGCTAATTCAATGGTCCATTCAATGGTTCATATGTACGAACAATCCCCTACATACAAGGGGTTGTCCGTACTCGCACTTCCGTGCAGGATCATGCTGTATTAGCAGAAGGTAACGCAGTACGTTTATTGACGGATGCTAAAATCCAACGAGCGGGAACTTCTTCCTGCTTTTGGGTCTCGTATCAAGAATTAAGAAAAGTTTGTCAGATAGGAGACAGAATTTCGATTGATCGTGGCGCTGTAATATTAAAAGTAACTTGTATCGGTTAGTAATTCAAACTTAAAATATGGACCGTTTTTTATTTTGAAAATGGTGCAAATTTATTTTTGGTTGTTTCGAGAAAATTAAAGGCTTCGCATATATTATATGGTCAATTAATAATATATGCGAATATGATTGATTATATTGATATATATATATATATATATATATATATGGGTGGGTCAAAAAAATGCCTTTTTTTTTTCAAGTGCCACGGAAAAATGGATTGCTAGACACCTTAAAACAATTCTTATCAAATATGAGCTCTTAATTTTAATAGGAAGATCCTCCGCATCGCAGTTTTTTATTTTTTTTTCAGTCTAATACATTAAAATTCATACCTCATTATTTATTGATTGTAAAGAAAAATGTTCTAGACAAATTTTGTAGGAAATTTAATGCTCTACAAAAAAGATATTCAGAGACAAAAATCAGTACACATGAAAGTTTGATGATAGTCATTTATTGTTGAGTTATAAAATTCATAAACAAAAATGAAATTTTTTTAAAAATCATCAAATTTAAATCTTCAATATCATTCAAATGGATGACTATTAAAAAGTGCACAATACAAATTTTTGTAGGAAATTAACTGCTCTATAAAATTGGTATCTTAGGTTTTGGCGATTAAATTAAGCGTTCAAAAGATATTCAGAGACAAAAATCAGTACACATGAAAGTTTGATGATGAATATCTTTTGAACGCTTAATTTAATCGCCAAAACCTAAGATACCATTTTTATAGAGCAGTTAATTTCCTACAAAAATTTGTATTGCGCATCTTATAATAGTCATTTATTGTCGAGTTATAAAATTCATAAACAAAAATGAAATTTTTTTAAAAATCATCAAATTTAAATCTCCAATATCATTAAAATGGTGAGGTTTACGGAAAAAATATAAAATATCTTTTTTGTAGAGCATTAAATTTCCTACAAAATTTGTCTAGAACATTTTTCTTTACAATCAATAAATAATGAGGTATGAATTTTAATCTATTAGACTGAAAAAAAAAATAAAAAACAGCGATGCGGAGGATCTTCCTATTAAAATTAAGAGCTCATATTTGATAAGAATTGTTTTAAGGTGTCTATCAACCCATTTTTCCGCGGCACTTGAAAAAAAAAAGTCATTTTTTTGACCCACCCTAATATATATATTGGTCAATTAAAAAATATTCATTTAATTATATCAAATCTGTGGCTATGTTTCTATTAATTTATCAATATGAAATTTGATTATATATATTTATTTTAGGCTAATTTAATTAAAATAATGTATGTTTACGGACTGCAAATTGATTTTTACATTACTTTCAAAATAAACGGTTCATATTGTTTGATTTATAAATCATTCAAATATTTTGCGATCAAATTTAGAAAAAAATTTGTTTAAAATATCAACAAATAGATTCAAAACAGTGCACGGATCTTGTGTATAATATAACAATTTATTTTTGGTAAACAATTATCAATTCATTGAAAGAGAACTCTTATATTATAAGATTATTCAAATCAGCAAGTTTAATTATACTATTCGTTATGAATATTGTTAGAATAAGGGAAAAAAACAAATTGGTAGATTTCTGCATTAAAATTGACATGATTTAATATTATACATAAGAACTGAATTCGTAACGAGTATGTAAGATAATAATTACAATTTTAAATTGAGTTATAATAGGAATAATTTTGAATACAGCCAGTACCGGTGTTACCTGCAAAGTTTTAAAAGGTGGCATTATTGGTAATGAAAAGACAATTCAACTTTTGGACAGTATCATTACGTTTCCAATGGTTTCCGAAAAAGATAAGGAACATATTAAATTTGCATCGAAACTCGAATGCGATATTATTATTATCAATCATTCGCGTAGCGGTAAAATGATTCGTTTGATAAAAAATGAAATAAAACAAACAGGTTTGTAACTTTGATTTCAATTATTTATTTTGTATATTTCTAAGGATTGTTCGACTAACAGATAGTAATTGGATGAGAGTTATGGCGAAGATTTGTTCAAAACAAGGTTTAGAAAATTTCGATGAAATATTAAAAGAAGCCGATGGTATATTATTCGAAAGGGTTGGCGTAGGACTTGATATAGGAAAAGAGAAATTATTTCTCGCGCAAAAATCTGTAATAGCTAAATGTAACAAGGTTAATAATTATAATCATTATTACTAGAATCATACAAGCTGTTTATTTTGAAGATGGCGTGTAAATTCATTTATGTTCGAATCGAGATATTGAAAAGGGTTTGCGTTTGATGATTAAATTTAAAACTGCGAATAACAGATATGACATAGTAGAATAATTTTTTTTAGGTTTCTAAAGTTGTTACATTTATCATCTTAATTATCATAATTAACATTATTTAAGAAATAATATGTTTTTGATAGATACGATTGGATTTACGCCATTTTCAAAATACACGTCTCATATGTATCTTTGGAAGAAGAAAGTTTTTGATAGCTTTTGTTTATTTATTGTAGGTCGGAAAACCCGTTGTTGTAATTTTCCATCCTAAATTGAAGGAAAGACCAAAAATTAATAAAGAATTGATAGCGAATGCGGTCTTAGACGGAGCGGATACAATTTGCTTGGCTACAGGAAATTTAAACTTGAAGGATACGTTGGAGTTAATTAAAGACGCTGATGTCGTATGCAGAGAAGCGGAAAGTGCACGATGGCAAAGAGAAATTTTCGATACTTTTAGTAATATGGCAAGTTAAATATTACCTAATAATATTCATAGCAAATAAGCTTTTTAACGTAATATTTTCATGCGTCGTTAGTCTGATTTAATTTTTTTTTCTTTTTTTCTTTTATTATAAAGTAATAGATACAATGTAATAATAATTAATAATTGCGTTTATTGACATATCCCACCCACATATACACCTACGAAATTATTAACAATATGTATTATGGTAATTGATGCGACAATAAATAAATAATAATAATAGTAATAATAATAATAATAATAATAATAATAATAATAATAATAATAACAATTAAATTTAATGTTATTTAATAAAAGGTGATTAATTGTTTTGTCATTTTTGATTGATAACGTGAAGACAACGATACCATTGGACGTAACACATTCGATTGCTGTTGGCGCCATTCAGACGTCCTTGAAATGTAATGCGGCTGCCATCATCATCACTACTACAACTGGACGAAGTGCCGTATTGCTTTCGATATATCGACCACGATGTCCTATCATAGCTGTAACACGTTTTGGTTTTGTTGCAAGATTTTTACAAATTTATTTTGCCATACATTCGGTACATTACAAGGGTAATCAATTTATCATTACGAATAATTTTCTTTCCTTCTTTTTTTTTTACAATCGATCTTCCCTGTTGTTTAACAAACAAGAAAATCAATTTAACAAATTAATTTATAAACGAAGAGAGGTAATAAAAAAAAATCAAAATATCAAGTAAATGTTACAGGGTGTAATTCCTTTTAATCGTATTTTTTGTTTTTCTTTTTTCTCTTCAACACGCCAACGTATTATCGAGAATTGAATTGGTGGGCTGGGGCGTACATTTGCTCCGATCAAAGAAAGGGCTTGCGGTTGAGTATGTTTGTCCACGTATGGAACATTAATGAGCTTTTCCATAATTATTTTCTAAGGGAATTAAAACACGACATATGATTCCTTAATAATGTGTCTAATAAGCTGTCTTTTTGTTTTTCTATTTTTTTTCTTTTTTCTTAGCAAATAATTAATATTGTCTCATTACTTATACAATGAATTTCATATATTTATTCGTTAATTATTATAGAAAATATTACGAAGTTCTTTTTTTTTCCTTTTTACTTACGTTTTACAAAATATCATGATGACAATTTTATGATTTTTCTTTTTTTTTTGCAGCATCACCTTTAACCAATTGGCTGAAAGATATAGACGTACGGGTAAGAGCTGGTATGAATTATTTAAAAGAAAAAAATTACATCAAAGTTGGCGATGCTATAGTGATAGTTGGACCTTCCCAACAAAATGGTGCAGGATTTACAAATTCTATACGTCTTGTCTATGTTTCACCTGATTTTAATAAATTCAAGCCAATGGAATCTAATCCAACGGAAGCTGAATAATTATAAAATCGTTTTACTTTCTTTACAACGAACAATGATGATTAGGAAAAACAAAAAGAAAACAAAAGAACAAAAAATATTTAACCATTACCGGTCGTAGGTCACGTGGGAAGTGACTTGCAAATATAAAAATATTTTATTAATAATTAAATTATTAATAATTTCATATACTTGTAATACTCCTTCAAAAAAAAAAAAAAAATCATTTCTAATAAATAATAAATTATTCTTATAATATTGAACAATTTTATTGAATATTTATCGAAATCATTTATAATTCATTGTTAGTGAAAATCATCAAAATAAAAACCTGACGACCGATAAGGGTTAATCCTATTTTAACCGTTTTCACAATCTGACGAAAATAAACATTAGGGATAATATAAAAAATCAAGAAAAGAAAAAGAAAAAGAAAAAATAAGAAAAGAAAATGTACATTGAGAAAGTCCTTTCATTGACACAAACGTGAACGTCCAATGGAACAGATGGTTATGTTGTGTTGTACAACCTTAGTAATGTCCGTTATCTCGTCACTGATTAGGTTCTACATACGGCTCGTAGAATGAAGGACAAAGTTCATAGGAGGTAGATAAAACCTCGATCGTGTTGGAGGTCGGTTTCTGTTATATACGTTCAAAGTGATATCGGTATCTTTTTGTCGTTGGTCATCAATCGAGGACATAAGGTGGATTTTTTACGTCATCAAGGAATGAACAACAACTAACTACTACTACGTGGAGTAACAATAGGAGTACAATCACTAGATTTTTTTAACATAATAATAAGTGCTTAATATCTAACCAAAAGTGTTTAAATAATCATTCATTGCAATTTATTATATCGTTCGTTGTATATGATACATGCATGTGTATGTATATATACATATGAGGATGCTCTAGCAACGTGTCGCTATGGCTTTGTTATAAAATGTTGATTTAAAATAATTCAAAACTATTTAATACAATCAAATTAATATATTCACTAATAATTTTTGGGAATTCAAATTAAGCATAAAACAATATAAAATTTTTAAATTTTTATTTTAATACATCTTAAATTAGAGTAATATGTGGATTTTCTAAGTGAAAGTCGCAAATGGGCATTGTTTGACCTTGAAACTTATTAAATAGAAAGAAAGAAAGTATTACTTCATACGTTCTTAAATTTATTGTAATGTTTTTATTGAATGACAAAATCAAGTAATGCAGGCTTCAATTTCAAATTCATTTGACTTTACCCGATGACCATAAATAAGTTTTAAGGTGTAACAATGTCCATTTGCGGCTTGGACTTAGAAAATCCATGTTCCTCCCTTAGGCAATTATATGCTGCATGATCATTTGTGGGAAAACCGGCGACTTTATTTGTGTTAGCAAAAGACAGGATAATGAGAAATATCGTGCAATTAAATTAAAATTATTAATTATTATAATTTTCAATGAAAAAAATAATCCATACAATTGTTTAGAATCAACGTTGTTTACTTTTTTTATAACATTAAATCTTCATATATATTTAATTTACAAATCTGTAAATGATTCATGTAATATATATAATACTCAAATAAACTATACTCAAGTATGAGATTAATAAAATGGAAAATTAACAAATTTTATATTATTTTGTGCCTTATTTCAATTCTCGAAATTACAAGTGAATATTAATTTGACTGCATTGAATAGTTTTAGTATTATATATTAAATCCAAGTATTTTAACAAAGCCATAGTAATGCGTGGCCCACACAAAATAATACCACAATTATAGAATGGAATACATAAAATAATAGTACACAAAAAAATATAAAAAGCAAGGTTAATTATGTCAATCTGAAAAAAAAACGTATAATGTATTGGAATAATTGAATTGTAATACAGCGCCATCTATTAGCGCTTTACAGAACCCAGTGACTTAGATAACCTCTAAATAATAATAAATCTTTAAATTAGCAATCAAAAATAAAAAATAATTGCGATAAAACTATCCTATATTTAAAATTGAAAAAAATCATACAAAATAAACAAAAATTCATTAAAATTGGTTCAGTGATTTCGAATCTATAGGAAATCAACAATATGACACTGAATTTGTATATATAAAAAGAAGATATATATATAGATATGAAAGTACTTATATGATATACTCTCTTTTCTAGAATCGATCGATATGATGTCCATTATTCTAGTGAGATATGTTTATTTAGACATTAGCAAAGAACGATCTCAAGTAGACATTAACATTAACGCATCTTTGTAATTTAATACATCCTCGTGTATTGAATGCTTGAAGTTTGACGAGAGGTAATTTAGTTTTTCAAGAGTAACGTTCAATTTCAAGATTGTCCAAAAGATCGATTCTTTAGGGGGTGGCTCCTTTACCATTAAACAAACAAGAAACTTTCTTTTTTCAATCGATATATATTTTTTTTATTAATTTTATTTTTATTTTTATCTCCTATTATTATGATTATCATCATTAAGTTGAATTATTTTCCTACTAATATTGAGAAATTTGTATTCGTATGTTTTTTTATTTAACAAGTATTTCCTGTCATATCTAAATAAGAAGTAAAATATTTTAATATTATTTTACTGCATATTTACTATTATGTTAAATACATTTTGACATTTGCTTATTGAACAATGCTAATATTATTAACACATTACTAGAGGTTATATATATATAATAAAATTTCATATTTGATATTCACATTCTCTTTTGAAAGTAAGAAATCGTATCAACCCCGTCTAGTACGCGAGACGTAACTTTAGGTACTCCCATTTAAATTGCATAAAGATGCAAAATCAACGAATGAATTTTTGAATTATGTTAAACTTTAATATCTTTAGTTCCTTCCTCGGAAAAAGATGTAGAAAGAAAAAAGAGAGGAAAAGAGAAGAAGAGTACTTATAGGGAAGGGTGAAAGTTACTCGTAAACGTGCTAGAGTCTCAACCTGTAAGGACTTTTAAGTAATGCAGTTAAGATTGAAGCGATCTATCGTTAATTCACGTTACGATCCTCTTTTCTCTCGTCGTTGGAAAATAAAAAAATTCTACTCGTTAATTTTTAATTTTATTTTTTTTTATTATGTTGGAATAACTACGTCACGTCAGGGAGTTGGAATAATAATTATCTTATAATTATATTAATTATATATTAATATATATTAATATGATATATTAATTTTAAATATGATAATAATAATAATAATAATAATAATAATAATAATAATAATAATAAAAAATTAATTTTAAAAATATAATATATTATATTAATATATAATACGAATTATTATAATAATTATTATTATAATAAATATTATATTATTATTATATAATATAATTAATAAAAATAATAAATACAATATAAAATATTAAAATAAATAATTTTATAAATATATAATATTAATTAATTATTTTATTTTATAAGTATCTTTTTTAATATTTGAAAATGCAATACATAAATAATCGTTTTGAAGTAGGCCGAATACGATGAAATAATGAACAAAAATTTTTGATTTCGCGTCTACGTTTTAAATGCTAACTATACTTTATTTTTGTATTCAAATCGATAGGTCAGTTTTGAAAAAAAAAATTTAATCGCACATCCCGTTATTTCTTGGTATGACGAATAATCTATTTGATTATAAAATTAATCGACCGATAGTACTGTTGATATTTCCCTAATCACATCATAAGGGTAAAAAAGAACAGAAGAAAAAGAATAGAAAAAAATAATAGTTAGTATCACGGGTTGAGAGAAATAGGGGTGGGATTCTACGTGCTTTGATTTGTCAAATAGAGATTAATTTATCGTGGCTTATAGATTAGATAACCAATATGTAAAAATATATTTCATATCTGTTTGTAATCCTTCTGTATGGGATGATACCAATATATGCGGTTTTTTCTTTTTTTATATCATTTTTCATTTAATTGTAATAAAATGCGTTTGAGAACATTTGCAATTTCATATTCTTTCTTTTTTTTTTTATCTAATTGTAAGATAAAAGTTCTTCAAACGCAGATATACGCACACAAATGCACACGCGTGCGCAAGACATACACATTCGACTTATTATAATATCTTATACGTTATATGATAAATAAAAAATATAAAATTATTGGGAAATAAATTATCTAATTCTGCGAATTTTAACATTAGATTTACAGATGTTTTGTTCATTATTTTTTTTAATGATTTACAAAAAATTGTTTGAATGAAAGGGTTGAGTAGAGGGAAGGAATTAAGATTTTCGTATATTTTATTACATAAATAAGAATCAAAAAATGTTTTTAAGAAAAAATTTATATATATATATATATATATATATTCATTATATTATATATAATAT